CAAAACTTATCCTACGTAGATTTTAATTAATTAAGAATATTATCAATTTATATATCAATACTATATATATCAGAGTGCATAATAATACATTTGTAAAAGTTTGCAAATGGAATTCAAAATAATACAATTATAATATTGTATAAATAGCATATACGAGGAAAGTTACATATATAACTTGCTTATATTTTAAATGCTTTCCTCCACTCATGGATCACCCCGAACTTAAATCCTACTCCTCTTTGGCACGATTCCAGAAGTAACATCTGTTGTCTATCTTCTCGTAGGTAGATATAATCTGGGCTTATGATTACTTATATTTTGTAATTCGGTCTGAAAATTACAAGTAAAAGGAAAGGTCCATTGTAAATATTCCCAATAATTTTTATAGCGCAATCAATAAATTTTTTTTTTTATTGGAGTTTTGAAATTATGTTTCAGTATAGATAACCTAAAAGTTACGAAGACACAACGTGGAGAACCACAGTTTATTTTATATTATTTTAGATGTTGAAAAGATGATTGAACTTTAACTTCAGGTGATACAGTGACGATGTAAAAATCCTTAACGCAAAGCGTTTTTAAAAACTTCCGGAGTAAATGATATTATGATAGATAAAAATTATACTCATCACTACGATCCTCTATTAATAATGAATTACTTTAACGACAATGTTGAGCCACCGTGCCCAAACTTACAGCAATAGAAGATGTATGCAAAAGTCTAATTAATGAAAATGTTTGTTGTGTGGTTAATAATACACCTTAAGCAAAAAATCTTCTAGTAAATGATTTTCTGGTGGTGTTCTCTGAGTAATGCTAAATGGTTTTCAAAAAAAATCATATAAGGTAATTTATTGATTGATTTTATGATCTGGGTATATTTTTTTTTATTCATATTAATCATTTTTACTTGGAAAAATGAGACTGAATTTACAATTGACTTTTTGAGAAGTTTTTTTTTACTCTATACAAGTTTATAATTGTCCCTTCTCGTCGTCAAAACGGTCTTTAAAAACGAATTCCACTGACGGAGAAGATCGTTTAGTTTGATCCGAGCTACTTATGAATGATTCTAGAATGAAATATGTGATATACGATTGTCGAATTTTTGTCGAATAACGAAAACATGGAGATCTTAATAATCATAAAAAAAAAGACCTATTTTTATCCGATTAAGCCAGACCTTGCTTACGTTTTGTTTTTAATGTTTAAAACTTGTTTTAAAATTTTCCGTCGTCAGCTATTTGTGCAGACAACCCGGTTTCTTGAAAGTTTCGACTATCACGCACCGTCGTTCTTTATTTATCGCCCTACCGTTCCCCACTGTTTGCCTACTGCCACTACTCTACGCCATTGAATCTGTACGGAACGCACGTGTGTTGTTAATGTTTAAATGAATAGCCGCGGGGCGGTGTTGTTCACGGTGAACGGCTGTATTATTCAGTCGCGAAGAAATTTGATCGGACCGATATAATCGCATGCAGGGATGGAGACGAAAACAAGTGCGGAAAAAAGGAAATAAACGTCTCGTAGAGGTCACGCGCGCATGTATATTAAACGTGGACTGCGCATAGTTCGAGTTGTTTGGCGGGGAGGAAAAAATAACTGTTACACGCTCTGCAGCCCAACACATGTGCACGCACGCATCCCCGAATCGACAACCTACGGTATAAGCCACGGGATAGATTTCGCGGAGTAAGGACATTTTTTTTCTTCACACGCATTCATTCGCGCGTGTTAAATTTACAAAACTCAGGGCGTATCGAAAAACATAGAAGGTTCCATTCCCCACGGTTTAATGTACTTTTCACGTACGGGATTCGTTTTTTCATCGAATCGTTGTTTTCGGAGGCATGTCAATTGTATACAGACCAGCGCATTCACTACGTCATGTGTGTACAGAGATATAAATAATTTATCATATTTTTAAAACCATACACTATTTCAATAATAATAATAATAATGCATAATTTTTAGGTATACATATATACAATATACTCGTATATACATACATTTTCGCTCAAACGTGAAAATTGTATTAAAATTAATGCATCACGTTCCTCGTCTAATTTACAAGACGTCTATGATAAAATTTTACGCATATTGTAAATTGTAGATATACACATATGTACGCGTGTTTCGTATGGGTTAATGAATGTATAACGACGGCTCGAAGAAGAAGAAAACCTTTTAAATAGATTAAAAATTACGTACGAATTTGTACTTTATTAATAATATATAAATATATCGTGTGGCTTTTTTACAAGTTTTTTTTTTTAATAAAATACCAACCAAACCAATATTTTCAGTTACTTTTATTGTAAATAATATATTAGATACATGATATCTGACACGTATAACTTGTATGCACTTATTACGTGATATATACAATCTGAGAACAGAAAAATTTCCTTGGTACTTCCACTTTTGAATTTTAAAACGTAACCAATAGCCTCTTTTTGTGCATCATTTATGTTGATTTGTGTTGAAAACCTCAACATTTGTGCTTTCCAAGATGCAATCATTTTTTTTATGGATGCTGGGCAAGTGATTATACAAACTTTTGAAATTTATAATTATCAATAAGCCGTATTTTCAGTTGAAATAACTTATGTTTAATTATATTAAAAGCTCATTTTGGTCGTATGAAGACGTTTTTATTACTGGTCCCGATCGAATTTCAGCACTTAAATTTTAAATTGCATTTATCATATTGTTTTAATATTTTTTTTTTACAAAAAGTTCTCATATATTTGACATTGTTAAATAATAGTTTATACAAATATACTGCAGATAAATTATATTGTTTTAACTATTATTGCATTACTCACATTTTTAGATTTTTATTTTTTTATGTTTTTATTTGTATGTGAACTAGTGTTTAACAGATGATAGTAGAGATATTCACATTGGAAAAATAAAAATTTATTGTTAAGAAAAAATGATTATGTGTTTAATATTGACTATAATACATCTATACAAAATATGACATAATATAATTATAGTACAAAGTATTTTTTTATATACATATTAATAGTTAAAACAAATGTAATTGATCTGTAGTATATTTTAATAAAGTATTATATAACAATTTCAAATATATGAAAACATTTTATAAAATAAATTATTAAAACAATATTATAAATGCAATTTAAAATTTAAGTGCTGAAATTCGATAAGGACCAATAATTAAAACATCTATATATGATTAAAATAAGCTTATAATATGACTAAACATTAATTACCAAATAATATTTTTTAAACTAACGTTGATGTATATTACAATATAAAAATTGTTTTCAAATACTGTATCATAATATTTTAAAATATATATAATATATGTGGAGAATAATATACAATTTAAAAATTTAAATTATAAAACCGATTATAATCAGTATTTTATCAGTACATTTAACGATTTTAAGTAATTAATTTTTTTTTCCTATTGGATTAACATATAATATACTTAAAGGGTTTTAGAAAAATATTATTTTCAATAATATGAAGAATGAGATAATGACTGGAAATGGTATAAAAAAAGGAGGTTACACTCGTCACCGATTATAATCAATATATATAATGATAGAAAATAAGAAAAAATAAAAATAAATATATATTTAAAAATGTTTAATCTTATACTACGAAATTAATTCCTTTGTGGCATAATGTTAATTTGTATTAACAAATAAATTTTTCTTTTTTATTGAAAACATAAAGTAATTGTAGTTGCAATAGTATAGTTATATGTTCATAAAATATAACCATAAATGCAAAAAACAATTTTGTGTAAAATATTTGCATAGCATTTATTATATTATGTATTATGTAAAACGAGAAATACGTTTATCTTTTGAATTAAAAAACGTTTATTACAGAAAAAATAAATAAAAAAATGTAATGAAAAAAATAATATAATTACTCAGTATGATATAATAGTACGTGGCGAATTGCGTATTTTGAATATAAATTAAACAATAATACTAACTCATGAGATACGCGTGGTTAGCGAGCCACTTACCGTTCACAATTTTAAATCCACGATGAAAAATAATAGTGAAAAAGTAAACGAAAACGCTGAAACGAACTTGAGTTTTAATTTTGTCGCCGTTGAAATCGAAAAAATTGCTGAGAATTATGTAAATATTAATTGAATCAGTGATGTCGAACTAATAAAAACAGTAGTTCCTATGGGTAGATGGTGAATCCTATATTTCATATTTTGACCTATCAAAATGTTTCGAGTTCGACGCCACCGAGTTAAATATAATATATGCTCGTATTAGGAAAATATATGTGCGTCTTCTTCGGTTATCCGTATTACTCACAAACGGTATTGCACGCATATTTCAATGTTATCCCTCAGAATGTATACACGTGCCGAATACTTTAATTGAAGTGCCGCCGTGCAATACGCAGCTGGTACTTACCCTCGTACGAGAGTGTACGTAAACGAATATTATATTTATATTATCATTATTAAATTAAAATGTGGGTACTATACATATTGCGAGTATATATATATATATATATATATTGCGTCAAAGAACCGTATTCAAACCGATGAATTAAGCACCCGGAACATATGTATAGAGGTATATGGGTAGTCGTTGTATGCGTGCCAATCTTGCCAGTGGCACCGTTTGACATATTTACCTAATGTTATTAGAATACATGATGGGGTTTGCCGTTTTTAATTATTTTTCATCGTTATTCTGGCCACCACACAGAAGTCTGTGTTATAAATTAGCTTGCAAAAATCTATTTTTAAAAGTACGATAATTGTACGATTTGATGTCAAATTAATAAAACTGATTACCTAATTGAAAAATATTTCAAATTACGAAAAACTTTTACAACTTATCAAGCCAATAAAATTACGATAAGAACACGAAAATTTCTGTCTATACCGCGCATTATTTTGTCTTTCACGTTTAGCGATCTGTGCGGTGTGCATGTAGGAAAGTTATAATTTTTATTTTTTAAACCCGAAGTATGGACATTTGCGCAAAAAGTAAGTGTATTAATGGTATTATTTTTATACGTTTCATAATGTAGTTAATACAACGATGTTTTATTTATTAAAGCTAGTTGTTATTCTCAAAACTTAAAATTATTTAACTAATAAATTACTAGTTATTACTGTTACATGACACTTCTATAATATTGTATATACTTGTATACTTGTATAAAAATTTCGGAATAAAGATTATAAAATATACAGAATACATCACACAAGAAAAAAACTCAAGAATAAACATCAACGAAAACCTATTACAAGACTATTGAATATTACGTTATATGAAATAAATTTAAACGATGATTATGATAGTGACAGTAACTACTAACATAGTGTTCATAAACTTATGATAATGTTAAGTATTGATTAATATTAAATATATATATATATCAATTTGAAAAAATAAAAACATCCCTATTTCCCATAATTAGAGGTAGATTACAAAATGGAAATAGTATTTGGAGGATTCAGCAACCTAAAACATGTAAATTATTTGATATACAATATGCAAGTTTTATGAAAATTTAAAAACATAGATTTTATTTCATCTTTAATGGGTTGATTTCAAAACTGATAACAAGTTTGGATTTAGCATGTCCAAAACTAATAGAATTTTTCATAATTTTTTTAACTCATATTTAGAAGGTATTAATTAATCCATGCTAATCTAGAACCAGTGACGGTGCTAGAATTTGCGAGACCCTGGGCAAAATAAACGTTGGGTCTTATAATTTATATTAAAAAAAATATTTTAAGTTCAGTTAAATCAGAATTGCGGGGCCTTAATTATAATTTAAGACGCGGGGCCCTGAGCAACTACCTCTATTGCCCACTCCCTCGCGCCGTCCCTGTCTAGAACACAGACCACTGTACGTCACCTGTACAGGACGGGATTCCTGCGATTTTTAATTTTCTAGAGCTACAGTTTATGTGTGCGTGATTTGTACGGGAACTGTGTTTTCGAATTTATCCAATGTCGAATATAATTACGCCACTTACAGCTCGCGCACAAAAATCAAAGCGATTAAAAACTTTCGTTTCTTTTGAATTTTAGGTTTCAGTAAAATACGGATATGTATGTCTATATATATATATAGTATAGTTTATAAGTTCTACGTCGATGTAAGTTTTATTAAATTTTTTCCATTGTACAAACGAGTATATGTGTTTTGCTCGTTTTGTGTATATACTACAGGAGTACTTCAAGTTTCGTGCTTTGCCGTCGCAACTATCTGTAAATAAGTCAATAACAAAAATTCAATACCAACGTGGTATTCTATGCGATTGTTAATTCAACGAAAATTTTCAACAGTGTTCTGGAACAACCGGTTAGCATGTAGAAAAATTCGGCTAAAATACTGTATTGATAAGCGCCTAAGCATTCATATATTTTTAAAAAAATTTAATTTACAATTAAATAATTATAATAATCAGTACACATTAAATATAAGAATAAGTCATAAGTACTTAAGATAAAATATGACACACACACACACGTAAACACATACACGCACACATACACAAGCGACATTAAATATAAGGAGCAACATTCTCACACAAGAGAGACACGTTCTTGTTATTCTTTTGTATAGACGGTCAAAGGCGAGTGTAAAAGTCTACGCAGATCGTCTATGCAGAAAGATAAAATTAATTGTAAGACATTCTGCAAAAATTTAAAATAAGTGTATTAATGTGTGTATAAGTAATTTAAATAAAATTAATATAAGTAAGTTAAAAAAGAAAGTTATTGTCATTTTAAAATATAAATTGATCACCTTATTCCATACCTGAAGAGCTAACTTTTGTTGTCAAGAGGCAGGCCGACACAATCATCGGAGAGGTAATATTAAAAATTTATAATATAATAAGTGATGATTTAAAAAGACAAATAAATAATTTGCTCATATTAAATGATTTAATATATAATATATTAATAACATATTAATTCACCCATTTTTTTTATCATTACTATTTTTATATCAATACACAATCGATTTTAGATGTTTCGCAATCCAGGTGTCTAATCAAGACATCGAAAGTATGATAGCAACTTGGATGGAAACTAATGACAATGCAAAATGGTCTGAATCTTTACGATTTGTTCAAGCAATGAAAAATTCAGCATTTCATTCAGGTTAGTTATAATTATTATTAACTTTTTTTCTGTTGTATATTTAAAAAGTATTTTTATCAATTTAATCATATCACACATTTTTAGGTTAAGTTGTATTTAGTAATTATTATAAAAACAAAAAAAAACTTAAAAATATACAACCGAACAAACACAGATTTTCGTGGTACACCTATATATAATATAACATTGAATAATTATTATTTGTGTTAAAATAATCCTACAATTGTAATATAAATTTTAAAATAAAGTATAATATAATCAAATAGCTATAAATTATAACTATTTTTTGACTTAAAATTCATAGCTATTTTATTATATTAACTATTTTACTGTTTTTTTTATTTTATTTATTATTTATACTAACTATTTTTTGACTTAGGTATAAAACGATCACCCTATGAGGCAATGTTTGGTTGTACAATGAAAATGGGACTTGCTACTTTGAGCATACCGAAAAATGTGATAACAGAACTCATTAATGAAGATGACCTTATATCTGTCCTTGAAGACTCTAAAATTACAATTTCTAATGAGAATGAGGAGACGAATACTACTGAAAAAATCAATGAGGACATAGATATTGATCATAACCAAGGAAAAAAAATCGATATTGAGATCTACAAAAATAAAGGGGTAGATATAAAAACAAAAATAGACAACGATGAAAAAACAATTTTATGGAAGAAAGATAAAAATGAAAAAGTTAATGAAAAAATATTACTTGAACGTTCTACTAAAATCAAACGACAACGAGAAGAGTAGAATCTCTGGAAAAACAAGCAAAAAAAAATGAAAACAATATCTAATAAAAATTTTCCTGCTGCATAATTGGTCAAACAGTGTGAGTGAAAATTCCAGATTTCGACTGATGTAAAATTGATTCTCGCACATTACTGGCTGTAGTTGTTGAAATTATTGACGAAGAATTTTATCGATTAGGATCTAAAGCTGGGACATTGAATCAATTATTCACTAGAAATCAATTTACTTTATGCGAAGAAAAATGTATTTCAATATCCGATGTTCCAAATACAACAACAAACATACGCCAAGCTGTTGCTCAACTTTCACTATCAGGCGGGCAAGGATTTTTGAGGTGTGATTGCCAGAATAAATGTACAACTAAAAAATGCAAATACCGCCAGTCAAATGTATTATGTAATAGCAGGTGTCATAATAGTACATGTGCAAATAAATAAAAATTTTAAATAATTATTTCTAACTACCCATCAATTTTACTGAATTTTACTTAATTTTTATGAAGAATAAATAATGATTCTGTTTTTAAATGATTTTTATTTTGTAAAAAGAATTTAAATATCTGTCGGTAGTTTGTTTTAATAATATATAATTATAATTTTTACGGAGCTTAAATGTTATGTGTCGTGTATTGATCAGCTTTTACTAAGTCAATTTGTATATCCTAGGATGTACACAACGTATTTAGTAAAAGCCCGAATAAAATTTAGAATTTCAGCATTTACTGAGTACACACAGTAAAACCTAGCATTAACTAGTAAAACCTAGGTTTACCTAGTGATCGGACATTTACGGTAACATATATATAATGAACTGTAATTAAATAGATTTAATATTAAAAAAACATAGCTTTTACCTTACAAACTAACGAGTTAGAGGGAACTTATATCTAGAATAAATAATTAAGTCCCCAATGGGTGCACAAAGGTTTAACAAATAGTAACAATTCAAATTAAAACAAAAGAAATACGACCTGTTACACCGTGACGGCAACTGATGGCGACGGAGAAACGTAAAGTGAATAATGTTCCGCAACGACGAAGGCCGGCGACCACAACCACCGTGGCGTATAGATAATAATGGACAAGAGCGTCAAGTCGAGAAGTCAATCACCTCAGTGGACAGGGCACGTAAAAAGGTGAAGATATCAGCTGGGACCTGTAGATTGCCCCTCATATATCGGTGACTGAGCCGAGAGGAAAGCAATCAAACAAACGCATCTTACAAAACACAAAATGAAACACGCGAACGAAGTGAACCATAAAACGTTGACAACGTGTTTTTACGCCATGTTTTCGCTATGAAAAACCAACGGTGGATATACGATAGAGACGGCGACAGGATACACGCGTTACTTCGACTAGGACAGTTACGCCGACTGTGTCGCCACTATAACTATGTACACTATGTATACAACAGTCGACCGTGCCGATGTATCTACAGTGACAGAACTGTATTCAACAGTATCAGTTCGGTTTGGTCTTTAAAAAAATGGACCGTTCAAAGCTCTACCCTACGCTTCAACCCTACGCTTCAAAGCCTGTCCGGGTTTTATTGTAATATTTCGTTTTCAATTCAATCCACTTTCTCGATATCATTACGTTGTGTAAAAATCGCGTATAATATACAGAGGTGGATACACAATTAGAAAACTGTGAGCCAGGCCATTTCAAAAGGCTGATAATTAGTGTTGAAACTAGATTATAAATGTAGTTTTACCTCTTATAATAAAAAGAAAACAATATGATCATATAATGTTTTTTAGTTTATTTATAATTATCAATGTAAACATCAACGTTTATTTTGTTAAATGGAGCTTGACTTGGGGTCTGGCATAGACATTTTTTACAATTCTATACAATTAAACCAATGACGTCATTCCCCTAAATGATAACTATATGATAACTGGAGAATTTGCTCAAGACTAAAATTAACTTCAATTTATAACTGGTACACTTAAAAAATATAAGAAGTTTTCAAAAAGCATTTTTTGTCAAAAAACATTAACTGAGAGTCAGTTGAACTCCTGAACCCTTCTTCCTAGGTCTGCTCCTGGCAATATCATAATAATTTGTCACATATAATACGTACAGTATGTCTTCTTACGTGTAATTGATGAACAAACGCCGTGCACTTTGTCATTACCGCAAATATTACGCGTGTTTCGTCTGCGCATGATAATGATTTATCACTACGATACCTACTCAAGCCATGCATATAATGTTCACGCGTATAATATTAATTAGATTAACTTTTGGCGCTCGGACAACGTTCCGGAGTTAGACATGGTATTAAAAAAAACCAATTTCTATGACTGACCTTTTAACGCGGTGTCATCGTTAATATTTGTTTGAAAAGTAACAGCAGTAAATGTCCTATATACTTGGTCGTTTGTATTTGCTTGCGTCGACATTCAAATCGTTAGTCAAAAAACTATGTCACACGTTGAATTGTAATCGAATCATAAATCGCACGCGTGTAAGTCTTGTGCATTAGAAGTTTTTTGGGCGACAACAGAAAATTCGAGCCGCGCGATCGCTCGTGATTATCTCTGCTGCGTCCGCCATATAGTCGCGTCTATTATTAGTATCTACTTGTATTTATAATACTTGCATCGAATGCCGTTTCAATATTAATTTAGCTTACGACTAATTAGTTTGCTGAATACGATTATTTCATATTTACAGTAGTATCTCATTAATCCAGATTAATTGGAACTCTAGGTTGTTCGAATTAATAAAAGTCCGAATTAAATAAAATATCCGAAAATTTTAAATTATAAATTTAAGAAAACTGTATTGAATATTATACTATACAAGATGTAATACAATATTAAAACCAACAAAATTATAAGTAAATACAGGTTACCATTATAAATAATAAAGCACACCTTCATTAACCACACTTGACTAACCTTAACACGCTTACTGATTAGAAGAATCTGCTAATATTTGTTTTCCTTTTACAGTAATTTATGTAAATAATAACTGACGCATATGCCTCTGATGCTCATAATACGCAGACATATTTCCATCGTTATCTTCATTGTATTTAATGAAAATGTTTAGAAGATTTTAATTTCACCAAGTTTTGGCTTACGGTTGACATTATCGTCTGCTTCATCCTGATCATATTCATCCGTTTCAGAGCTTTCTGCAGCCGCCACACTTTCAAAAATTCTCCTCCTCCGATAATTATAGGAAATTTGTGGAACTCGTTTTCAGGTTTATTTTAGTATACGGCATAAACTAGAGTAATTTACGTATTATTGAACGGCTGTCCGCGTTAAACAAAGTCTGAACAATAGAAATCCGGATTAATGAGGTTTTACTGTGGCTGCATCCGAATTGGGTCCCGAATTTAAAATTACTACACTATAGTGTAGTTAACAACTATAGTTGGATTTTGAATTATTTTAGGTACTACACTAGTTCCTAAATATTTTTTGGTAATTACTATACTATACTCACATTTTCCTTCCCATTTTAACAAACTTAGGACTGTCTATGATCTATTTAGACTACGGATATGGTTGAAAATGTTTTTTATAGTTTTTTTTTTTTGTTTATTAGATTCTTTTCCATTAATTTTTATTTATATTATATAATGGTTTTAACATTTTTAATATTTTTACCAACACAATTCTCATAATTTATATTTTAATGGAAAAGAAACTAAAAATATTCAGGAACTAATGTAATACCTAAAATAATTCAGGACCCAACTAGTTTAGTACCTATAAGAATCCGAGACCTAACTAGTGTAGTACCTATACAAATCTGGAATCCAACTAGTACACTATCTACAATTAGCCCTTAGTAATTGGGACCCAACTCAGATGCTCCGTTTATTGTATATATATTTGATGTTTAAAAAGTGTAAGCCCCCAGGTCTATACAATATTATAAGAAACGTAGTTCGTATGGTGCACTTATAAAACAACTTCCAGTAATTGAACAATTCCAAATAATAATTTATACTTAAGAAAGTTAGATCAATTAACAATTTGCAACCATAGTTTGTTGGTTATTTTATATGTGAGATCAATCAATAGGATTTCATTTTTTTTTTTTTATTTAACTAATAGGTTTAAAATGCATTTGGTTTTATATAGTTTTCAAAGTTATTAATTTAAAAATAAAATAGACGGACAGATCTTTAAATTTTAATCGTAAAATATAGTTTTGAAAACCAATTAACAAATTTATTAAAAAAAAAACCAAATTCTAAACAATAAATTAAATAAATTCAATGATTTGTTTGTCCTACCTGTTACGCAAAAAAAAACATAGAACCTTTTACTGTCGGCCAAACAATTTGGTATACACACATTTAATATATATGTATAATATACGTACGGAGCCAAAAAGGAAAAAAATCCCATATACCATAGGACCACTTTCTCGTTTGGCTTTTTGCGAATTAAATTCATAGCACATAATCAATCGTTAGGAAAAAAATAACTGTGTTAGAGTTTCTTTTCGGAAAACTACCGTCGTCTTATGCAATACAAAAATAATATAATATATAGCCTCTACCCGCTATTGATGTACCAATATTATACATGCACATGTGCGTGTATGTACACGTCATGTCATTGGAAGCGGCTCTGTCAGCGAACTGGGATTATTTGTAATTAATTATTATTTTGGTTGACCTGGTTTTGCGATTATTTTTTTTTTTCATTTAAGGCGATTCAGTGATAATGATTCGTAACACAAAAGAACCGCGTCGTCGTCAGTCGGTTGGTGGTGTATTATTATTTCGTCTGCGCACATAGCTGCCTTTTTTATTATTATAATTTTGTATGAATAGTAATAAGCGTATAAGGGTTTCTTGCTCAAGTATATATATATAATAGTAGAACACGAAGAGCGGTGCGCATAAAAGGAGGTCATAGTGGAAATTCGATTTCTACTTTATGAAAGCCATGGCGGCGGCGGTAGGGATGTCGAGGATTTAGTGTGTACGAGAACTTTTTGGACTGGAGCCCGACACGGAGGAGACTCTTTTTCCCCCGACCGCGTTCATTGCTATTTGTTAAAATACACGATCACCGTCAACGACGCTGCCAATGACACCACCCTCTATGGATATCACAGTTGCCATCGTATGTATACACACAAATCAAACAGGTTTATTTATTCGAGAGATAAGAGTGATGAGAGAAAGAGAGAAAAAGAGAAAGAATGAAAGAGATATCAAAAGATGCTGTATTAAAAATATCTAATTGAACTTCAAGGATTGCGTGAACTATTTTACACAACTCGCAGTTATGGTATTTTTTTTTCTTTCTAACAAAATTATAAGAAATTTATTGCAATCAGAAAATAGTTTTTGTTTTTTTTTTTTACATTTACGATTTATAGAAAAGATAATTAATCAAAAATCGTGTTGTATTATTGTTATTACTT